GTCAAACATATCGAGTTGCGCGCGATTACCGCTGGCCTTGCCTTCAATGTGGACTAACCTTGGGTCAGTCACCTGAACAGCTTTATTGGAATGCACGTTCGTTGCATCGTTGACTGATACGACGTCAACGTAAATAAATAAAATTAATTCGTTCATTTTTTTCGTTCAGTTGAAAGAAAACATTTTTTTCACCTTCAATAGCGTAGAAACTACTCGACTTAGGTTATTATGTAACAAAGTATCGAATTGTATGCGTGGCTCAGCCCATGAAGATATTCATGAATGTCAAGCGGAATATTCATGCATGCGCTTTTACATCTACTAAACACACGATCGTTCCGTTAGAAAAAAAAATAAATAAATAAATAAATAAATAATATCGCTGACATTTATAAGACAATGGCCGAAATCGCTTTTCGGATTTCGAGCAAACTGCAGAAAATGAAATTTGTTATCGATAAGACTGCGGATGTTTACGCGAATTCGTATTTTCATTGACATGATACGAAAAAATAGACTTTCGTCTGCTTTATATGAGATATTTTCAATAGACATTTTTGCATTTTGTTGATCTTTCTTTGAACAACGAGAAGCAAGGAGCTGACGTACAATAGTGTTATATTTTTTCGAAAAGAGAAAGAGAAAAAAAGAATAGTCCAGAGACCATTTAAGAATCGAAATATTGTTTCATCTGCTTATTATAAGATTGATGCAAAACAGTAGTTACACAGTATACGTTTATGAATTAAACATCCCGGTTGACTTGTAGATCTTGTTTCTTTGATATTTCAAAATACGATATTGATAGACAATTCAATATAAGAAAACTTATGTAACTAGTATACTTATATAAGTGATATGCTAATATTAAAACGTTTAAATAGCAAAAATGAGGATATGAATATTTTTAACTTGCTGCGTGTTAATCTACTTTAATTTTTAATTGATACCATTGAACATTGAGCCATGGCAATTTATTTTCAATTTGATCCGATTCTATTACTAATTTCTATCGAGAAGAATGTAATTTAAACCTTGAAGAATAATTAATTTCATTTCTAGCAGAGAGGGAATATGAAATGCAGGGTGAAATTAAATATCCAAAATTTTAGTAATTTTACGAATGACTGTTTGACCGTCAAATTTCGATCGGACGAGTGAACTGTAAATGCATTTCGAAATTCTGATGAGCGTAACTGAAGAAGTTGCTAAAGAAATAAATAGAAATGCCTTTCCGTCAGTAAATATCACAAATTTCCCATTTTCGATATTTTTATATTTTTCGATGTATTTATATTTTATGTAAATTCGAATTAGAGAAAAGTATTTCAAAAAGATGAAAAATTTTGATTCAAATATTTTTTCAATTAAATATAATTGTTGAGTTTCTTATAAATTTCCTACAAACGCATACAAAAATGTACAGTCTACCGACAAAGAATTTTAACGAGAAAAATAAACTTCCGCTTGCTCCGAACTTTTCAATATTCATTACATTATTAATCAGACATACTCTCGAGAAATAAAGAAACTATTGTGCGAATGCTCCCTAAACGGGAACTGGCTGCGTGACGTGGTCTCCGATTAATGCCACACGAGTATAATCATTACCAGTCATCGTGATTCTTTCTCGCGCAGAATCAGATTTGATCGGATTTAATTAACCCTTTGAATCCCGCTTGGATTCGTGCAAATTCTTTTTTTTTTTTCTTCTTCTTCTTCTTCTTCTTTTTCAGGCAAAGGTGACTCTTGCATTACGCTACACCGTGGTCCGTCACGCTATAAATTATAATAAACGACTGGAGCACGACTCTGAAGTTTCTACTGAAGTTTTTAGTCGTGCACTTTTCACCGAGAGAGAGAACCGCGCATTAATTTCATTCGATGAATTTACATAACTGTTATTTACAACGGATGCGAAGGCTATTCACCTTGTTTAAAGTGGCTGCGTCGCAGAAAACAAAGTTGAGAAAGATCGTCATCGTGACTGATTAAAAATCGGTTCGTTAACTGTGCTTTAAACATTCATTTATATTTGAGAATGTCGCGATGTCCGTTCAATCATGGAAAGAGATAGTGACGTTTGAAGAATGTAAAACGTTCTTTGTAGTTCTGAGTCACGGTTTAATGTAACTCTCTTTTATCTAATGCAATGATATTCTTGCAAGAAAGTCTACTATCTACTTTTCATTTTTCTTTCTTTTATTTTCCTCATGATTCTGAATCATAATACAACATTTAATGCAACACTTGATGCAATATTGAATTGTGAATTTTTTACGAACGCATAAAAATCTGTAATTATCATTTTGATCGAAGAAAAACGTATTCTCTCTATACTTTAATTTAAGAACTTTTTTTTTTAAATACGCTGTAGCAAAAATCTTATAGATATGAATTTCGAATTTGCTTTACGGTCATCAAAGGTGGACACTCGATGCATAAAAATTGTTCCAACGCTCACAAATCTTTCCAGACACGCTTAAACTTCGTACCTTTATCTAATGCACATTTCTCTTTGAATCATCGTACTTAGATTACGGGTGTTTCCTACTCACAGAAAATTGAAAGGACAGGCGGAAAGATACGTAAAACATTGAAACTGAAATATCCGTTGTAACATGCAATGAGTGAAAAGAATATTTTGAAATCTGTGCTTGTAAAACGTTTGTAAAAATGTATCGACAACAAAATGTTCGCGCAAAGATCCGCAATCTAATGATATCCCTCGCGTTTCCACGATATATTCTCGTGATGTACGATCGTTTGCGAACGACGAGAGCGAGGAGAGACGAGGAAGGAAAATATCGAGGGAGAAGCGAGGAATTGGCACGAAAGTCAGAATCGAGAAGAACGCGCGTCACGCAACTCGAAATGTGCACGGCTCTCCTCGAGCAGCGTGTCTACTCGCGAGTAGTTATCATTGCCCCGGCACGGGTCACTCACCTGACGACTATCATACCGAGTCATTAAGCTACACCACTAGCAGTCGTAACCGGAAATGCCGTCGCGCACAGACGTTCATTTCTTTTGTACGCGTTCGTGACTTCGCCGACGGTATCTCGGATCTCTCTTTCGCTCGTTCGTTCGCCTGTTCGCCAGTATAAATCGGTCGTGCATCGCTCGCGACCATATTAAAATGAGAATAAACGCTAACGGATCCCTCTTCGATGACCGAGGCCGAGGATGTTGCTCCGCGACGAGAAATCCACGCGGATCGGAGTCGTTGACTCCGTAGGAGTCGAACAATTGCCGTAGAGGAATCATTTTGAAACTCCATTAACGTTGTAGTGAAACACGATTTTTCATGGTTGTATTGTTAAGATTTGAGAATGTATCTTAAATAATAATTTCATTAGTGTCAATGGAATTTCAAAATTGTATCTGGTAAATTTCTATGTATAACGTTATCAGAAAAATGTATAAATGTCGTTAATAAATGGTAAGATGATAAAATAATTCTTTTTGTCCATCAATGTCGAAATAAATCTCCATGATGACAATGTCACTCTGTCGACACGTAGAATGAATTAGAAAACGTATTATTGTTTCAAGAAAAACGTAGAAAGTTAATAACGATAGATAGGACAATCAAGATAATATTAAACATGATAAATAACTTTCTACTTGTGCATTTTTGAAACATTTCATCAGATAGATTCTTAATCGACTTTGTTACTTTTCTTCTTCAAAACCATCGAAAAACTGTTTTTTCGCCTATAATAGGAATAGAATGGCAACGGTTCTATGTCTTTTTTATTTTTCACAGAAATCTGTCGAAGAATTGCGCGGGTTTTCGAGACGCGAAAGATTATTCGCAGGAGACACGTAACATTTAGATTTGACAGAAAGATCGGCATACCTTGATCAATTCGTGACGCACAGCTTGTGGATTCTTGTCGATGGCTACGCTGATGCAAAGAGCAAACAGCGCCTCCTCGTGTCGGCCCAGAGCCGACAAAGCCACCCCTCGTCTATAATGACCCTGTTGACAAATGACAAACCGATAATTAAAATCTAATCACTTTCAACTAATAACCGATCGGAACGAAAATATTACGAAATTCTTATGAAATAATATTGCGCAATATCTATACGAGATGGTAATAATGAAATTGGTCAAAATATATTGTTTTATTATATATTAT